CACTTCTGACTTTTATAACTTTGAAATTCTTTTCATTCTGGACTTGCTTGCAGAAGTCAAAGAACACGGAATGTGACTCATCCTTGTGTCTTAAGAACTTTACCCATGTCCATCTACTATAGTCATCAACAATGACTAATCCATACTTCTTGCCTCTGATGGATGCAGTTTTCACTGGTCCAAACAGATCAATATGAAGTAATTCTAGTGGTTTGGAAGTAGAAACAACATTTTTTGATTTAAAAGATGATTTTGAAAACTTTCATTTTTGGCATGCTTCACAAAGAGCATCTGAAATGAACTTCAGATTAGGGAGTCCTCTGACAAGATTAAGTTTATTAATCTGAGATATACGTCTCATATTAATATGGCCCAATCTTCTGTGCCAGACCCATTGCTCTTCATTAACAGACAAGAGGCATTTAACATTTTGAACTTTAAGTTCTGAAAGATTTATTTTATAAATGTTGTTTTTCCTCTTACCACTAAATAGGATAGAGCCATCCTTTTGACTAATAGCTTTACAACATTTTTTATTAAAGGTAATATCATAACCATTGTCACTTAATTGACTTATGGACAATAAGCTATGCTTTAACCCTTCAACAAGTAAAACATTCGTAATAGAGGGAAGTTTACCATTTCCAATGGTGCCAGATCCAATGATCTTGCCCTTCTGGTTCCCTCCAAACTTCACATCACCTCCAGATCTAAGTTCCAGGCTTTGGAACATAGACTTTTCTCCTGTCATGTGTCGTGAGCATCCAGAGTCCAGGTACCATGATTGGTGTCCTGACCTTGCTGCTAAGAACATATGCAACATAAATTATTTTATTTTTAGGTACCCAGATCTTCTTGGGTCCTTTGGGGTTAGTTGGTTTGTAGGTTTGTCTAAACTTCTGTTTTTCAACATAATGTTTATTCTGACTTGCCTTGGGTTTAAACACATAAGTATTCTTCTCAGAGCTTGTGTGTTTAATGTCATTTAAGTGACCAAATTTAAATTGAGAATATAGAGAAGTCTTCTTGATGAAAAGTTTGTCAACAGATTTTGGATTACACCCAGATGAAGATTCATATCCAATACCTCTTCTGTTGTTCCCACTAACACCATAGATCATAGAAGTCATATTGCTTCTGTCTATGCTCTTAGTAAGGAATCTCTGAAAGCTAGAGTCATATTTTTCTAAAATGTTTTCACATGAATTAGTCTCAGATTCAGATTCTTGTTGAGTTATTTCAAAGTCATTTTTGATTTTCAGATTAATTTCTTTTTGCTCAACAAGTTCTGTCTTTAGAAGATCAATCTCAGATTCAAGATTGCTTTTCAGCTTCTTGTATTTGAGTTTGATATTGTTATAACTTTTAAGAACTTCTGATAAAACTTTTATAAGTTCTTCTTTAGTAAGTTTAGCCATTAGCTCTTCAACATCATCATCAGATTCAGAATCTGATTCATATCCTGAGGTTCCTTCCTCCTGATCTTCTGTGCTGGCCATCCATGCAACATTAGCACATTCTTCTTCTGATTCAGAAGATGATTCAGATTCATCTGAGTCATCCCATGTTGCCATCAGAACCTTCTTCTTTTTGTTAAACTTCTTCTTGGGTTTTTCTTTTTGAAGTTTGGGGCAATCATTCTTGTAATGCCCAAGTTCTTTGCACTCATAGCATACAACTTCTTTCTTGCCAGATCTTCTGTGCCCAAAAGATTCCTTTCTATGATCAGATTTTCTGAAGTTGTTGAACTTCTTTCCCTTGTGCTTCTAGATTCTGTTGATCCTTCTGGACAGCATGGATAATTCATCTTCTTCAGAAGAAGAAGATTCTTCAGAGCTTTCTTCAATAACCTGCAAAGCTTTAGCAAATTTATTAGATTTTAAAGCAACAGATTTACCTTTTTCTTTCTTCTGAGGTTCATCTTCCTCAAGCTCAATTTCATGGCTCCTTACTGAGCTGATGAATTCTTCTAAAGAGATCTTGTTCAGATCTTTAGCCATCTTCAAGGCAGTCACCATTGGTCTCCATCTGGTAGGTAGACTTCTGATGATTTTCTTTACATGATCTGATGTGGAGTATCCCTTGTCCAGAACCTTTAGCCCAGCTGTGAGGATCTGAAATCTGGAGAACATAGCTTCAACAGATTCAGAGTCTTCCATCTTGAAGGCCTCATACTTCTGGATCAGAGCCAGAGCTTTTGTTTCCTTGACTTGAGAATTTCCCTCATGAGTCATCTTTAAAGATTCAAACATATCAAAAGCAGTTTCCCTATTTGTAATTTTTTCATACTCAGTATGAGAAATTGCATTCAATACTATTGTTATGGCCTTGTGATGATTTCTAAAATCTTTCTTCTGAGCATTTGTCATAGATTTTCTATCTATCTTCTTTCCATTCCCATATGTGGGATGAACATATCCATCTATGACTAGATCCCATAAATCAGCATCATATCCAAGGAAAAAACTTTCAATTCTGTCTTTCCAGTAATCAAATTTCTCCCCATCAAACATAGGGGGTTTGGTGCTGATTATGTCCCTTTCTTCATATTTACTGTTAATGTTGGATGTTGTATTATCAGCCATAGTAACAACTAAATATATATCAAAGTATTTCTCTCTGGATCTTTACTGACACTGTTAAGTGGTAGCACACACAGAACCAGAGCTCTGATAGCAACTGAAGGTGAGATAATACTTAGAGGGGGGGTTGAATAAGTATGAAAGATTAAAACTTAGAATTAAAACACAAGTATTTTTATCCTAGTTCGTTGAACTCAACTACTCCAGTCCACCCTTCCTAGAGTGATTTGCCTTTCTCAAACAAGGACTTAATCCACTATTTAATCAAACAGATTACAATAGTAACACCTAAGAACAACTGTTCTTAGTCTTCTCAAGAGCTACTGATTCCAACTGAATCCTCTTAAGGAAATGTTTTACAATCAATGTAAATCTAATACAAGAGTAAGAATGCTTCTAAAAGCTTTAATCACAACAGTGATATTTCTCTTAAGTTTAAGTACAATGAAATTAATTCTAAGAAGAATATGAAAGTATGAGAGCTTGAATGTTTTAGTTCTTTTCAGCAAAAAATGTCTTACTGAAGAATTTGGTGGAGACTTGCTTTTATAGGCAGCTGATCCAAGGGAGCTGCACGTTGAGAAAAGTGTCCCAAAAGGTCTGAGCCTTTTTGTCTTCACATCAAGTGACCTTTCATAGAAGAAGAAAGCACAGAAAAATCCTTTTTGTCTGTGTTCTTGTGTCTAGCATAAATAAGGAAAGAGACGTTTGATTTACTCCAACGGATATAATCTTTGAATATTTCTTCTTCAGTTTTCAGCAAGTTTATCAGAGTCTAATTGAGTCAGAGTCTTCTGATGATGATCAGAGCTTGCTGGATCAGAGTCTTCTGCAACAGGTGTGCTTTCAGCGTGTTAAATATCAGAGCATATTTGGAACAGAATTTCAGTACTGGCAGCTTTAGTACTTTCAGAAACTTCTGTAGAATCTATGCTTTGAAAAACTCTTCATACAAAATTCTTCTTTGCTTCAGATGCTTCTGACTTGCTTCAGATTCTTCTAGAGCTACTTCTTCAGATCCTTCTGGAGCTTCTGCTTCAGATTCTTCTGGAGCTTCTGCTTTAGATTCTTCTGGAGGCTACGCTCAGAATCTTCTGTTGGCAGCAATCAGAATCTTCTAATGAGTGCATCTGCCACTTCAGAGTCTAGCTAATTTTTTGCATTCAATTCAGATTTGCTTCTGGAGTGTTAATTTCTTTACTATCTGCAGTAAAAACTCTCAAGCAACTTTTAGAGTGTATAATTCTTAAATACAAAAATTCCTAATAGTTATCATCAAAGCATAGAGATATTATTAAGAACCAATCTGTGTTCTAACAGTTGCTTCCTATTATGTTGTGCCCAGACTAATACTTCAGTTCGACTCTCAAATATTTGTCGTTTAAATCACATAAAAAGCACAATATCAATATCATATAAGATCACAAATATATTAAATTTTAACTTATTACATAGAAAACATACTTTATCTGTAGTGAAGAACTGCGTACAATCGCTACAAGAATCTGTAAATGACTTTGTCGGTTCTGAACCGCACAAATAAAACATTTTCTACTTACTGGTTTGTTACCAGAAATTTCAGTTACTGGCAAAATTTCCGTTATACCGAGAATTTCCAAATTTCTTGAAGTTTTTGTTGGTTATTAGAAAATTTGAAAATATCTAATATTGTAACGAAAATTTTGTGTAAATTACCATATATTTCCAAATTACTGATATAATGTATCAGATATTTTCAAATTTCTAATATCTTTTACTGAAATTTTTTAAATTTCTGATATACACACTTGAATTTATAAAATTTGCGCAAAATTACGTATTAAAAAAAGTGAAATTTTTTGGGAAAAAAAAGTAAAAGTTTTAAGTAAATATTAGATTGGTATTTTAGAAATATTGAAAAACTGAGGGGTGTCAGATATAATTAAAGGGTGGAAGGTTAAATTCTCCTCTAAGAAAAATACTAATAAAAAATGTTAAGAGTTAAAAAAATTCAATGGTTTTAAATTTGAAGGAAGTATCAATCAAGTGTCAAACCTCCAATTTACTGATCATACTTTGATTATAGGTAAAAGGAGTTGAAGAAAACGTCAGAATCATCAAATCCGTTTTAAAATTGTTTTGAATTAATCTCTAGCCTAAAAGTGAATTTTCATAAACGCCTGCTTACAGGCATGAATGTTAAATTCGAATGGATACATTTGGCAGTGGATAGTTTGAAACACTTAAGAATAATAATCAGATAAATTAGTTCTAATTTGCCTATTCTTTAACCAAGCAGCCATCTTAATGCTTGTCCATAAGTGATGTTAAAAACAAAATTGCTTAATTAATGACATTATACTTACATATTTATAGTAATACAAAAGTGATTAAATGGTGAATATGGAGAAAAATCATTTACTCAAACTTCAAGATACATCAGTTGTATGGTTTGATGTGGAAAATTTGACAGGTTGGATTATAAGACATCTCAGATGCAGCTTGTTCAAACTTCTTGACAGCAGCTACATTTTCTTCTAAGTTTGTTTCACTGAAAAACTCTTTCCACCAAGACGAACTGCGCATTTTCGCCTTCACAATCACAGCAGAGTTATTTGTTGTCACCAACAATGATAAGAAAACTCTTCTAAAAGAGAAAGCCACTTACCGGGCGTCCGAATTTGGATAATTGTGCTGCTTCTCTCTGTTGTCCAGGGGAACCTTAAAAGACAAGAAACCACCCAGATTATAGAAAGAACAAGATAAATTGAAATGACGCGACAGAAAAACGATTATTCGAGAGTCAGTTTGGTAGAATTTTTTATGCACTAACAATCGCATTTACTTTCGAGATGAAGTACCTGCTAAGATAATAACACCATCACCAGATACTCTTACTAGCTCAGGAAGAGTTTTGTTTAGATATTTCGGAGAAATATAATCCAAAGCATCTGATACTATGACATGTGAGAAAGACTTTGGCCTGTAAGGTAGAGGGTATTTTATATCCGCAACACGCACGACGCCTCTATGGACTAGAGCCCTGCAGTTTCTATCGGCGTCTTCGATGTCATATGGCTCCACACCCCATGCTTCAACTTCCCCTTCTCTTAACAATTTTGATACCACTGAACAACTCTCTGGGCCAACATGCAAGACATTTTTCATGTTATCGCCGTATACATTCTTCAAAATTGGAAATGCACTTTGAACTTCAAATGTGCATGAAAAATCACCTACAAGATAGATCAAATTAGTATTCCTTTCTAAAACAGTGTAGATAATTCGAAAAATCAGTAACAAAATTGCTATATCCGAAAACATGGTTGTATTTATTTACCTTCAGCCCTGATAACGACATTCTTCCTTCCTCTAAACAGACCTGTTCGTTTAAAAACATAAGATTAGTCGGTCCATAAATATACATGGATTTTACGGGCGGGCTAAGATTTCAGGCTCGCACCCTCAACTATGTCCGTTTACTATCCCTATACAGTATGATGAGAAAGTTGTTTAAATCATGTTACCTGATCCACCAAAAGCATAAACGAGAAAGAAAGCTCCCTGAGTTTTTTAAACAAAATTAAAAATGGATTAATTAACATAATCATCATATTGTTAGAAACAGAAGCATCCTAACAAGAAAGATGCATATAGGAAATTACCAAAAGGACAGGGATTATGAGTAAAGGAGAAGATTTGGATTTGGAATTGAATACTCCTGAAAAGGAAAAGGTTCCACCACTGCGTCTTGTGGAACTTGCTTGTCTTCTTGACATTACTTCTTATCAAAATGTGAAGCCTATAACATCAACAAACAAGATTATAGCAATGAATTGAATGGAAAGCATGGAAGATGAAAAAGGAAATATAACAAGAAAGAACCTTAGATTACATTCATAACCGCATGTGAAATGGAATAGAGATATGTTAGATCTAAGAGGAACAAAAAATAGAGAGATCTAACATGCCATACAACAATGTAAAATCAAGCTCTTTTTGTTTTTTCTTAACAAAAGAAATATTATTCTTTTTTTACTAATTATAAATAATTTTAAAACTCTCATAAATATTAGTAAAAAAATTTAATTAATTTAATATAGAAAATAAATTCTTAGTTATTTTACAAAATTATAATTTATTCATAATATGAATAAAAATTAAAATAATGAACATTAAAAAATATTAGCACACTTCATAGATATTGTAAAATAGATTACAATTGGATTAAATGTATTTTTGTCTTATAAATATTTTAATATTTTATATAATTATTTTAAACTATTTTTAATCAATTTTAGTTCAAACAATTTACCTTAACGACTTTTAGTTTTTTAGTTGGGTTTAACTGAAGTTGGTTAGGGATTTTTACACCTATTATTTTAATAATGTGATTTATATATTATTTAAAATTAAATATATTTTTGGTTTTTATAAATATTTAAAATTTTTATTTTATTCACTTTAAAATTATTAAAAACAAATTTTGGTCTTCACTATTAATGAAATAAAGTGGTAGAGAGATGAATATTGGTCATGACATTTCCTTTATATATATATATATATATATATATATGTATATATATATATATATATATATATATATATATATATATATATATATATATATATATATATATATATATATATATATATATATATATATATATATATATATATATATATATATATATATATATATATATATATATATATATATATATATATATATATATATATATATATATATATATATATATATATATATATATATATATATATATATATATATATATATATATATATATATATATATATATATATATATATATATATATATATATGAGTAATTATTTACAATAAATTAATAATACTCTTTTTATATTTACACAATCTAATACACCCCCTAGTCGAAATTGGAGGTGTAAGAATGTTTAAACTATTTTTAAAATTGTCAAAAAGTTGTAGCGGAAGGCCCTTTGTGAAGATATCAACAATTTGATAGCTAGAGGAAACATGTAATACATGCACCTGACCGCGACCCACTTTTTCATGCACAAAGTTTATATCCATTTTGATATGTTTGGTGTGTTGATGTTGAATTAGATTGTAGAAAAGGTACATGGCGTTGACGTTGTCATAATAGACTAAAGTTGCTTTTGTAATAGAGCAATGTAGTTCTAAACGTAGATTTCGAATCCAACACGATTCAGACACTACATTAGTCAATCCTCAGTATTCGGCCTCTGCACTTGATCAAGACAAGGTATGTTGACGTTTTGCAGAATAAAATAACAAATTGTCACCAAGATACATACAATACCCAGAGGTATATCTTCTTGTGTCTCGATAACCAGCCAAATCAACATATATGTAAGATGCAATCTTGTCGATGGAAGAAGAATACAAGTGGAAGCCAAATTCAATAGTACCATGAATGTAACGAATGATCCGTTTTAAGGAAGACATGTGTTTGTGTTTTTGGATCATGCATAAAGAGGTACACTTGTTGAACTGCATATGATATATCTTGTCTAGTAAATGTCAAGTATTGTAATACACCTGCAAGACTTTGAAATTCTGTTGGATCATGATAGGAATTACCCGAGGACCCGCAGAGTTTTGATTTGGTATCCACCGGTGTTGGGGCAGGCTTACATGAGTACATTTTTGCACATTCAATAATCTATTCCTATTATGACAAATAAATAATAGGTGATCATAAATACTGTGAGAAAATCCCATTGTAGCGACATAATCATTGAACCGCTGATAACGGACGCACGATGCTTATTTTAGTCCATAGAGAGACCAATCGCACATGGTCTGGAAATTGAGGATGACGTAAGCCTAGAGGTTGGTGCATGTACATGGTTTCGTCAAGATTTTTGTGCAAGAAGGCATTTTTAACATCCAAATGATGAATACACCATGAACTTGACAAGGCAACATTGAGTACTATATTAATAGTTTTCGGTTTAACTACAGGGTTGAAGGTTTCACTACAAACAACGCACGTTTTTTGGTTCGCTCCATTACCTAGAAGGCGAGCTTTGTACCACTCAAATGATCCATCTGAATTCTTTTTATGCCTGAAAAATCCGCAAACTTCAAATAATATTAGCATTAGACAAGAAAGGAGCTAAGTCTCACGTCTTATTTTCAATAAGAGAATCATATTCGTATTTCATGGTCATTTTTCAATTAGGGTCATGCAATGCATCCATAGGGTTTTTAGGTAAGGGGTATGGAATTTTGAGATGGATTATGTAGGTTAAAAAGCTTGGAAAACATGGAATTTTGACTATACCGTGTTGGGCTCGGATAGTCATATGAGGTGAGAACTATGGTAATATTAGTGAAGGCGAAGGTGTATGCGTGTCAATGTAGTAGTTGAGGTTTGTTGTTTGTCGTGAGTTGAATGAGAAGGAGATATAAGTATGGAGGAAAAGGTCGACGTGGAGGGTTGGTTGGGAGATGGCGTAGATGAAGGTGGGTTTGAGGTTGGTGCTTTTGATTTTTTAGATTGAGGGTTAGTTGGGGTTGGAGTATTTGGTGTAGGGGTGCCATAGGAGTAATAAGGAAGGAAAGGTGTGGAGTCATTATCTAAAAATATATAGTCAACCATGTTAGGAAAATTAAAGGTAGAAAAGGAAAACATGTTTTCTTCAATATGACATGCCTAGAAATAAAGATCTTACAATTGGACAACTCGTAAAATTTATATCTTATATGATTATGTGAATAGCCTAAGAATACACATGGTTTTGACTGAGGTTGTAACTTATTTCTAGAGGTTGAGGGAATTAGAGAATAACATAGACACCCGAAGACTAGAAGATGTGAATAGGAAGGGTATTTCAAGTAAAGTATCTTAGTGGGTGGAGGGAGAGCTTTTTGGTTGGGAGGATATTATGTAAGTATGTTTCCACTTACAAGGCATGGTTTCAAAAGGATGGTGGGACAGAGGCATGGACTATAAGGGTGCGGACGATGTCATTTATAGTACAAATTTTTCTTTCTACTTTTCCATTTCGGAGGAAGTATGAGGACATGAAAACCTAAATGGACATGCCATTAAGTTCACATAATTTTTGAAAGAGAGCACTATCATACTCTTTCCCATGATCACATTAAAAACATTTAATTTCTCATTAAAAATGGGTTTTAATGTGAGCCCAAAATTGAAGAAACATAAAACTAACTTGATATTTATTTTGTAAAGGAAATGTCCACAAAAAATCTGTGAAATTATCTTAAAATAACACATAATAACAGTGTCCTCCTGAACTAAGAACAAGTGATGTCCAAACATCACTATGGATAATATCAAAAGGAATTAAAGTATAAGACAAAGAATTAGAAAAAAGAAATTTTATTTATTTCCCAAGTGGACAAGAATGACAAAAGAAATTGTTCTAAAACTTATTACATATTAGAAAATTGTTTCGGTGTAGAGAATTTAAGATACGTGCTCTAGGGTGTCCTAAACGGTTGTGTCATACTTCATTAGATAATGCGGTAAAGGTAGATAGTGGTTGGATTTTATAGTAAGGTCCGATGGTAAGTGGCTAAAGATCTTCGGAGCTGTTACATCTCATTAAATGCATTCTTATATGAAAATCCTTCATAGAGAAAACAAAGGGGTCATATTCAACAGAAACATCATTATCAATGGTAAAGTTTCTAATAGAGACGAGATTGTTCATTAGTTTAGGGGCATGTAATACATTGTGTAAATTGAAAGAGTATGGAGAGGTAGGTAATGATGCATGTCCATAACCAACAACCAAAATATTATGAATACTACCAATAGTAGTATTATTGCTCGTATTGAATTAAGACATAAGATTACCTATGTTCTCTGTCATATACAAAGTATCCCTAATGCCCATATACCATTGATCATCTGAAGGAGAAATAGATAATGTATGTATAATATCCTGAATGTTGGGGCATACTGAGAGGATCCCGGGTGACTGGCCTAGTACGGTGCAGTGGTTGCTATTTGAGCCTGATGATTTGGCTTTTGCCTAAAAATACCAATTTTTGCTTGTTCGAGTTTCCAGTTGTTGGGTATGCACATGGTGGAATGGACCAAGGTTTTTTCCATGATGGAAAATTCCACTACTTATTCTGGTTGGGATATGATGGATAAGTCCATTACTGATGTTGATGTGGGTAGGTTATTAAAGTCTATTGCGGATGTTAAGAGCAACTACCACTTCTCCATAGTTTTTTCCTCTACCATGGTAGACACAACCATTACTTCCTCTTCCACTATTGATATTACCTCCGTCGTGGTTGGTGCAGTTAGAAGGAGTAGAAGTTGATACATCAGTGTGTGAGGTGATGAAGGCACCGTTGTCAGTGGTGTTGCATGCCTTTTTCAATATGGATGTTTCTTCTAAGATGATCAAGAAGCGTTCTTTGTAAAAGGGTGTAAGAGAGTCATTTTTATAAAATTGCGAGCATATAGTAGAATAAGCATTGATTAGGCATGAGATGAGTTGGAGAACCAAACGTTCATTGGAGACAAGAGCCCCAACTTTAGATAGTTGGTCAAAGAGATATTTGAGACGATGATAGTAAGAGGATGCATTAGAGAATTGTTCCATATGAGCGCGTGAAAAATCTTGCTCTAAGTAAGAGCCCTATAATTTTTGTTATTATTGAATATGCCAAATAGCCTGTTCCAAGCTTGTTCTGTAGCAGAGTCACGTTCGATGATGGTATGAAGAAGATCATTAGATATTGTGTCGTATATCCACTATAACAT